GGTCTCAAGGCAATAAACATACCCATGATTGCCGCCCTGGCAACAACATGGTACTGGCCAAACAATTCACGAAGAATAGCTCTAGCCTTGTCGTAGGACTGCTTAGGCGGTAACATGACACACTCAATGATCGCCTTTTTGCCCGGCCCCCCCAAATTTAAAGCAGATAAAGCAAACGTTTGCCACTGTCCTTCACGGGACTTTCGACAAAATACTCTAATTGTTTGATAAACTTCCAGTAGGTTGCAGGGTTACCGTCAAAAGCTCAAGTTCTACTCTAGGTAGATCCAATTGCGAACTACGGAAGGATTGCATTTGGTCGGCAGTGTGTAAACGGCTGGTTATCGACGATAGGGGTTTCTGACAGTCGTCGATAAATTGTCCCATCTCCTCCCTCTTTGTTACTGCGCTACAGTCGGTTACACTTTGACTATCCAGTCCATCAACACCTTCCAATTCCAAAGATAATCTAGACATCTCTATTTCCTTTTCTGCCAGTTGAATGCGCTTCTGATTTTCTATTTCTAACGCAGCTACCAACTGTTTCTTTTTAAGCTGGGGTAACCTCAAGGAAAAAAGCATCGCGAGGACTTAAACCAACGTTACATCTGCAAATGGATTTATATATCTATACCATAGACATAGAGCCAGCGGAAACCATGAAACCGAATTAATAAATACAAAGACGACAAAATGAATGAAAGCTGCAAAATAAGTTTTTGTGGATCTTGAGTTTTCTTCTTTTTTTGCTTATTTCACACATTGTTTTATATCTTTTTGTATGTTTACTGTTTGCGATGTAATTCAGGGAAATCAAGACACACAATGAAGACGCACATTATCCATTGAGCCCGGTTCTGTGCCATCTCAGAAAGAGTTTCCAGCCAGCGGTGTTCTTCATCATTGAACCCCCAGCCTGGAATTCGCACTGGACTTCGGCAGCCAACCTGAAAGTTAGCGCATTAGTCGTTTGTCGCCACGTGATAGGCTGACCACCACTCAATTTCCGTTTATCGGCCCTGGATGGCTCTGATTCGGTTACTGTTGAACGATTTTATGGTATGAGGCGTTTACCTTTGAACCCTGTAGCATGCCCCATCAGCCAAGTGCCGAGCCGTTGGCCTTATTTATCTGAGGTTGAATTTGCTGCTATTAAAGTCCATAGAGTTCGAATTCTTCGGGGGAAGACATCCCTGTAGTCCACTGGCAGCTAGAACAGCGTCGGAGTAGACAGCAACCCATTCGCTGCGAAAACACTGTCAGGACGGAGGTTACTTGGACCGGTTTGCAAGGTCCAGCAGCCCTTATATAATGGTGTCCTTGAAAGGGTAAACTGTTGAACAAGTTCGGCGCGTTCGACGTAGCTGGAAGCGTTAATCAACAGGCGATTAGCACCCAAGCGCGATGGACAACTGGCAATTCAATCACACGACGAAGCGAACGAGGAAGAAGGCATACGGTTGGAACAGTCAGCGTGTGTATTGCGTCAAGAAGCGTTAGCAGCGGCGCAACCAATAAGGAAAACAAAAAGGGGCGGGAAAATGCGGATCTTTTAAGAAGGCGGTTCGTATTCAGTCACTTCGCACTCATTCACACAGTTCGTGTCAGTTACATTTGAGAAGTTGACCATTGTGAGATCTGTGAATAAAAAAGGGAAAGAAAAACACGGGTGAAAACCAGGTCAAAAAGCGTCCTTGACTTGATGATCTACACTACACTGATCTCCCCTATCTGAAAGGACACTGTCCTCAGTGTTCGTAACATCACTAGCTGGTCCTCCTTCGGGAGGAACCTCCACCTCCATCTCCGGTAATGGAACGTTGTCGGGGGAAGGCATGGGTGTAAGATAAGTATGTCCGCGACTGTTATGATAAGGTTCCGACTGATTGTAGTGTACCGTTAAAACATCTGCCTGTGGCTTCATAGGGTCTCGAAGAACGAACACATTACCGGGTCTACGGTGCACGATGACGTATGGCCCATGCCGCGGATGAAGGAATTTTGGGTGCGTGCCAGGTGTTGGCTTTGGTCGATGAAGGAGGACATAGTCGCCAACTGTATAAACAGGTCCTTGGGCCCCGTGGTCGTAAAGCGTTTTCTGATGCTGTTGTGAAGATAGAATATTTTGTCGTGCCTGTTGGAACGCACTGCATAGTTGCTCTCTAAATCGTCGGATGTACTCGTAATGGTTGAGCGCCTCTGCCGGCACCATTGGGAGTGATATGGACCGGTAAGCGCAACTCATGGCCCAGTTGCAGTGAGGCTGGAGAGAAACACATAGAGCTGTGAAGCGACGAACGCGCTTGCGTTTGACCGTCCCTGGCGTCCATTTCGCATGGCCTTCCTGGTAGTCACGTACTAGCACATTCTGTCCAAGCGTAAAAGATCGCTTCTTTGCTCCATGTCGCCGGTTAAAAGCCTGTTCCATCCTGCTGTTTCTTTCACCAATAGAGGACTCCGAGCCTGGTCGGATGGCGTCGAAAGGCATGCGGAGCTTCCGGCTCATCATGGCCCGTGCTGGAGAGACACCGTCTGGCGCTTGTGGATTCGGTGTTGATCGGTAGAGGAAAAGGAACCGGTCAATTACCTCCTCTATACGTCCCTCCCCTTTTGATTTGTGGAGAGCTCGCTTTAATGTATCGACAAACCTTTCTGCTTGGCCATTCGACTGTGGGTGATACGGCGGCGACCGGCTGTGTTGTACGGCGCATTGCTTGCAAAACTCCGTAAACGTTGCTGAAGTAAATTGTGAGCCATTGTCGGTGACCATTGTCTCAGGACAGCCGAATCTGCTAAAGGTTTGGAGCAGTTTCGATATGGTGGCATTGGTGGTGGTGTTCTCCATAAGAAATACTTCAGGCCGCTTGCTGTATGAATCGACAATAATGAGAAAGCTTCTGCCGTTGATCGGTTCCGCAAAGTTGTAGCAGTCTGGAGTTTCCCCGGTTTGCCAGTTGAAATGTCTTACTAAAATTTTTCATTGTGCACCTAGGCGACCGGTTTGGTTTGTTGAACTGATTACTGAGTTCGAATGCTTGACTTTCACATCGAGATTTTTTGTTTGGCGCTCGCTTCATTTGCCTCTTCCCTTTTCCGGAGGATCATTCACATATCACGGACGTCATTTGATCCAAAGCGTTCCATTGATTTCCCCTTTGATGGCGAACACAACGAATAAAACGCCCACAGTCACATCTACCTACTCATACATGTCCCCTTCCAAATACACAGTTTAACATAGTTTTACATCTCAACACACATATAAATTCCCATGCTATTGGTCAAAATGTACTAATTTGTGCAATTGCTGATCATACATGTTTGTAATACCATGATCACGCCCTTGCTGGTGTGCCTCGCAGTGGCGAAAATAAACCATTTATTTATAACTCGCAACTGCCGTTTGTGCTGTGCTTGCTCCGTTCTTCTAGCTATAGCGTCCACGGTGTCGTTCTTTTATAGCTAGATAATAGTGAATCTTTTACTGTACCAATAAAAGTTTCCCTGAAACTCGATCTGTCTTCTCGAGTCGCTCTCTGGGCTGCCGGTACAGGCGCCCCTCTAAATTGGTGACCCCGACGTGACGTGGGTCGTCTGGTGCGACAGGTATCTGATGGTAGGCGCGAACTAGGTCGACATTGCTAAAACAGCAGTCATCACGCCATTCGGCCTATTCGAGTACCTCAGAATGCCTTTCGGCCTCAGCAAGGCTGCCCAAACTTTTCAGCGTTTCATTCATGAGGTAACGCGAAGACTCGAAGGCGTTTATCCTTATCTAGATGACATTCTTATCGCCAGCTCTTCTGATGAAGAACATCTTCATCAGCTCGACGCTCTCTTCCAACGCTTAACACAGCATAGGGTTACCGGCAACCCCGATAAATGCGAGCCTGGCCAAAGCTCCATCGACTTTCTTGGCCACCGCAAATCCGCCTCTGGTATTGAAGCTCTGCCAGACAAAATCCAGGCACTGAAGGACTATCCTGCCCCCAGTTCCTTCAAACAGTTACGCCGATTCCTTGGCGCATTCCGATTCCTTTGACGCATTGCAAAGGCCAGAGCTGCCTACTTGAACCTGCGCATCTTTGGCGACAGAAGGGAGTTTCCCTCCGTCTGAAAGGCCGTGTATACAAGGCCACAGTGAGGGCCGTTCTGCTCTATGGTAGTGAAACTTGGTCCCTTCGGTCTGAAGATCTGAGGCGCCTTCAAGTCTTTGATCATCGTTGTTTACGAAGCATTGCTGGTGTCGGATGGCCCCAGCGTATCCGCAACGATGATGTGCGTAGGCGAGTACTAGGTGGTGATAATCATGCTAGCACCCTAGAACAACAGATAGCACTGAATAAGTTACGTTGGCTCGGGCACGTGCTACGCATGCCTGGTCACCGCTTACCTAGGAGGGCCTTGTTCAGTCTACCAGGTGTCGGATGGCGCAAGGCTCGAGGTGGACAGAAGTTGACTTGGCAGCGGGAAATGAAGTCACTGACGACCAAACTGGGTGCCGTTGGTCCGTCTTGCCTTCCGGGTTGGAGTCCACGTGACTCACCTTGTGCTTGGCTCGAGACTTTACTGGACATGGCTCGCAACCGACACCAGTGGCGCGTCTGCTGCCGTCTCCTAATCGGATTGCCTGTTTAAAGTATGTTTGTTGCTGAGTTATCTGCGGGGTAATGGCTGATTATGACGCGTGGCAGTGAAAGCCGCAAGGAAGCTGTCTCGCCGATGCCGCCTTATCTTTGCACGATAGCCAGCTGTTTGTGACGGTATGTTGTCTACACAAGGTGTAGGCGCCTTGACCTTGAATGTTTGCTTAGGGCATTAAGGTTTTCAGGTAAGTCCCCCTTCTCTCCCTCTTCTTATTCTTTATTTCATAGGTCCTCATGGTTGTATGGCAGCGAAGCATCAGTTCAAATGGCTGATGTACTGCTGTTGATGATGATGATGGCCTGGTTAACTTTTATAGACTCTTTATTCCTAACTGCGCGAGCATTGTTCAACCAATGACTGACTTGCTCCGCGCCAAACAACGATCTTTTCATTTTGCAGACGACGCTAGACTGTCTTTTGAGAAGCTCAAAGACGCTATCTCCAACATAGCGCTTCTCGCTCATCCAGACACGTCTGCACCACTCTCCCTCACAACTGATGCATCCGACACTGCCGTCGGTGCAGTTCTTCAACAACTCATCGACCATCGCAATGAGGCTGGACCTTACCGTGGTGCGATGGTTTGTGTGCCTCAGCGATCCATTGAGCTATACTGGGTGGTGCATTTTTCACCTTCAGAGTCACTCATACCAGATTGGTCAATGGTTAGAGGCCAGACAGACTCAGCCTCCTGGTCCTCCAGGTTGGGGGTTGGAATGAGGGTGGCACCTTATTCCTTAATATGGACTCCTTGTAGCTCAACGCCAAACCCGCTGCCTTGCGGTCAGGTTTTTGAACCAAAGGCTTTGGTTGAGAACCCTAATCGTTCTCCTGTCTAGGCCTGGGCAACCTGACAGTATCCTGCCCACGCAATACTATGAATTTTCCTTCAAACAATTTCTTGATGCTCTGGCCACCGCAGAGGATAATAAACGGTGCCCTATCTGCTGCATCGAGCAGGGTGGATAGGGGTTTGGATGCTACTGCTCAAGCCTTCCCGTCTTCTTATTCCCCCTCTTACGCTTTTTCACTCTTACCGTCCCATTCCAACTTCACTTATATCCACCCAGTTTTCAACCCCCCGATTCTTGGCCCTCCCCCAACATGCTTTGCTAGGCATTTACCTTCTAATTTCAACTCACACGTGAACGCGGAGCGTCACTCCTCTCCTGTCGACAAGCCCATGTCCAACCAAGCGGTCCAATCCAGTTCATCGGCTTCCATTTGGAGCCCTCGATCCTCCTTCAGATTGGCATGCCTCAATGTACGCACACTGCTACAAATCAGTCAACAGGCAGCACTTGCCCGAACATTGGAGATCCTCTCGATCGATATCTGCTGCTTATCAGAGACTCGCCTGCAAGACTCGAGCACTGTGCTCACTCTGCGATCCCCTTCAGGGGACGCAAGCAGTATTTTCTTCTTGCGCCTATTCGGTGACGATGCAGCTTCGAGCACCGGCGAAGCCGGTGTTGGTATTGCCCTGAATCCCCGGGCTGAAGCTGCTCTGGTTGATTGGATTCCAATCAGTAGCCGGATGTGTGCGGTCCGATTGGCTGGCTCGTTTAAAGCTTCGAAGTCGCGCGGGACTAATAGATGTCTATTCATCATTGCTGCCTATGCGCCCACAAACTGTAGCGATGATTCGGTAAAGAACGACTTCTACCGCCAACTGACCCAGCTCCTTCGCCACAGAAGAAGCACGGACACTGTTGTGCTGGCGGGGGATATGAACGCACAAGTTGGAAAGTTGTCCACTGATGAACTGCATCTGGGCGGTCAACACGGTGTAGGCTCCCGTAATGATAACGGTGAGCGGTTACTTCATTTGTGTGAAGATGCTCGCTTATTTCTTGCGAGCACTAATTTCCGACACAGCACCCGCCGAAGGGTGACTTGGCGCCCACCAACCTCGAACCAGCCTTGCACGCAGATCGATCACATTGCGATAAGTTACCGGTGGAGAGGCTGCATCCAGAATTGTCGCTCGATTTGGAGCACATGTGTGGACACCGATCATGCACTTGTATGTGCTGACATGCGGATGCGTTTTGGCGGACGCCCACGACGACGCTGTGGGTGTATTGACACCAGCCAACTGACAAAACCAGCTGTTCTGAATGCGTATCGAAGTACGCTAACATGCGAGTTGAGCAAGCGCTCACAGGAGACAATTGATGGTCACTGGTCACATGTTTACCAGACCTTACTAGCAGCAGGCAAATCCTCATGTGGTATGTCTAATAGACAACATGGACATTGGGTCTCTTCGCAGTCTCTGGAACTTATAGATGCTCGCCGGCAAATCCCGGCTGGAAGCGAGCACAATGAAACTCGCAAAGAGCTCCGGGCAAAACTCCGCGCTAGCCTGAAGAGAGACCACGAATCTTGGTGGTCTCATCGTGCGTCAGAGATGGAAGTGGCCGCTGCCCTTGGCAACCATCGTAAGTTATTCCGTCTGATACGGGAAACGGGCAGCAGGAGACCTGGTGTTAGTGAAACTATATGTAGCGAGAGTGGACAGCCTATCCACAATTTGTCAAAACGTCTGGAGCGTTGGGCTGAGCATTTTGAAAAGCAATTTAATCGACAAGAATTGTTCGATTCGCCGGTCACTGATCGCCCCGCTCCGTGGGCTGTCCCTTTGGATCCACCCTCTCGTTCAGAAGTCGAACGTGAGATCGGACTGTTGAAGTTGAACAAAGCCGCGGGACCAGATGATCTTCCTCCAGCCCTCTCCAAATTTGGAGGCTCTGCTCTTGTTGATGCTTTGCATGAATTACTAGTGAAACTGTGGGAGCAGGAAACTGTCCCAACCGACTGGAGCCGCTCCGTTATTGTTCCCATCTTCAAAGGCGGCTCGCGCTCGGAATGCGGCAACCATAGAGGAATCAGTCTGATCTCCATCGCCTCCAAATTACTCGCGTCCATAATTCTCCACAGACTGACTGGCGCTCGTGAAAGCCAGATTCGTGAGGAGCAAGCCGGGTTTCGTCGGGGTCGTGGCTGCATCGACCACATCTTCACCTTGCGTCAGTTGTTGGAGCACCGTCACACATATTGGCGGCCCACCGTAGTCGTGTTCCTCGACATCAAAGGTGCCTTCGATTCGGTCGATCGATGTGCCCTCAGGAAAGGTGTGCCCGAGAAATATGTAAATATTATCCAAGCATTATATGCGCGTAGCACGGGCAGAGTAAGGGCTTACAGCAGGCTGTCGCCACCCTTCAATATCTCCAGCGGTGTGAGACAAGGATGCCCGCTGTCACCTTTCCTATTCAACTTCGCTATTGACGAAGTCATGGAGATTGCGTTTACAGGACATGACTTGGAAGGTGTGGAGCTACTTCCAGGAGAACGACTTTTTGACTTAGAGTATGCAGACGACATTGCCCTCATCTGTGACAGCTCCCAGACGTGTCAAACCGCGCTGGACAGATTAGCACTGGCTGTCAGTCGCTTCGGGCTTTGCTTTGCACCACCGAAGTGCAAAGCGTTCCTCCAGGCTTGGCAGGGAACGCCTCCTGCGCTGACGCTTGGTGGGGATCAGCTAGAAGTCGTTCAGAAATTCAATTACCTGGGAAGTTGTATCAGCGCCCTTGGGATCGAAGACGAGATCACGAACCGCATAGCGAAAGCTCGAAGTGCTTTTGCTAACCTTCGCCACCTATGGCGACGGCGCGACATTACTCTCGCCCTGAAGGGTAGAGTGTACAATGCAGCGGTACGTTCGACCTTACTGTACGGTTGCGAAACCTGGCCCCTAAGATCGACGGACCTGAAGAGGCTACTTACGTTCGACCATCGGTGCCTTCGCAGTTTGGCTCACATCTGGTGGGGACACCGCGTGAGTAATGAGCGTGTTCGGCGCCTTGTTTACGGCCTAGGAAAAGGTAATGAACCGCTCAGCACCGTCAATTCCTTCACCAGGCTCCGATGGCTTGGCCACGTGTTGCGCATGCCAGCCCACCGACTCCCTCGACGTGCGTTGTTTGCTCTCCAGGGATGTGGGTGGAAGAAGAGGAGAGGTGGCCAAGCGATGACTTGGTCGAGAGGAATGAAGGCCCTCACTTCGGAGCTGGCCTCAGTTGGAGCTTCACGGCTCCCTGGTTGGGGTCCAAAAGACGGTGAACACGTTTGGCTGGATACACTTGCTGATATGGCAAGGAGCCGACCTCATTGGCGTTCGTGCTGTGAGTTTCTTTGTCCCTCCCCATCCCTTTAGCCTCCCCCTCCATCTACGATCTTATTTCGTAGGGTAAAACGTAATTAAATTTTTGTTTTTGCCTAGTAGCCGGCTAGTTGCTTACCGGAACGATGCGTATCCGTTGCTGGTAGCTCAGCTGGCATTCAACTGTCGTATTTCTTTTTCCTTTATGTATTGTATGTATGTATGTATTTCCTTTATGTATTGCGGTACAATAGCGGAGGTGTTTTACCATCTCTAGCTGACATGTATAATGAGGATGATGATGATGATCGATGGATACCTCTAGGTTTCTTCTCGAAACGTTTACAACCTGCCGAATCGCGTTACAGCACCTTCGGTAGGGGACTGTTAGCTATCTACCTAGGCATCAGACATTTTCGTCACTATCTCGGTCGACATTTTACAGTCTTCACTGACCACAAGCCATTGATCTACGCAATCAATGGCGCAACAGACAAGTATTCTCCGCGGGAAACTAGACACCTAGACTACGTTTCTCAGTTTACGACAGACGTACGACAGGTCTTAGGTGCTCTCAATCCCGTCGCGGATGCACTTTCACGCATTCAGCAGATCGGCTTATCGCATGGCACCAACATTGACCTAGCCGCTGTGGCTGCTGCCCAACAAGCTGATCCCGACATCGACAAACTACGACGCAACACCTCGTTGAAACTACGCGAAGTTCCACTAGCTTCGTCTGAGGGGACCATTCTTTGTGACGTTTCACAAACTTCTCCCCGACCCGTAGTTCCTACTTCAATGCGTCGACTAGTTTTCAATGCTTTACACAACCTGTCTCATCCCGGCATACGTGCTTCGCAGAAGCTCGTGACTGAACGCTTCGTATGGCCTAACGTCAATCGCGATGTCCGCCTTTGGGCACGCGCATGCTTAGAGTGTCAGCGCGCCAAGGCATACAGACACACCAAAAGCCCACTTGGCGTTTCTCCCGCTCCTGACTCTCGTTTCGCACACGTCCATGTCGACCTGTTCGGACCTTTGCCTCTATGCAAAGGCTACGTGTACCTCCTCACTTGTGTCGACCGATTCACGCGTTGGCCAGAGGCGATTCCGATAGTCAACTGCTCATCTGAGACAGTTGCGCAAGCTTTCCTAGAACGCTGGGTAGCTCAATTCGGTCGCCAAAGCGTAATCATCACTGACAGAGGATCACACTTTGACGGATCCTTCAGCAAACTGCTCGACGTCCTTGGTTGCCAACACAACCGAACCACCGCATACCATCCCGCAGCTAATGGGATGGTAGAAAGGTTCCACCGGCAACTCAAAGCCTCACTCTGTGCCCAATCTAGCACATCCTGGCACGAAGCACTTCCGCTCGTTCTCTTAGGCATAAGAAACACGATTAAAGCGGATTTGCACGCCACTCCATCGTCGCTAGTCTTTGGATGCACACAACGCTTACCTGGTGAACTCGTCTCACCAAAAGCGCCAACAACCTTCGACCATGGCGACTACGCAGCTCGCCTATCTCATCACATGCGACAGCTTCAGCCTGTGCAACCCAGAGCACAGAGCTTGCGAACCCACATCGACGAACGCTCAACTACTTGCACGCACGTGTTCGTTCGCACTGACAGTGTACGCCGGCCACTTCAGCCTCCT